GGCAGAAACCTCAAAACCCTCTTAGGCTCCAGGTTTTTGGAAACCATGATTCCATCCAGGATATCACACAGGCACTCAAGCAGTCTTTCCCCCTCTACCAGGGCAGCGAAGTTGCTTTCACACCAGCCATGGCCTCACACAGAAGCTTAATCCCTGGCTGGAAGGCAGACCGTTTTGGCAAAGCCAAGCAGGCATGTGACGTGAAACAGAGTGAGGAACATTTTTATTACTGTTTTGGATGTTTGGGGGTTTTTAATGACTCCAAAAGACATCTTAAAAAGTCATACTTTTTTGGCAGTTCCAAGATGCAATTGGTGCTACATGTACTAACATTACCAGGGATTGGCTGATGAACACAATGCTTTTCTCAAATACCCTTTTCTCTCTGGACTTTTCAGACCAAACTAAGTTTGTGCGTGTGTGCGTGGGCACGTGCACACCTGCACCTTCCCACGCACAGACGCACACCACACAACTGAAGGCCAAACCAAACTGAACAGGCATTTTGTTTTTTAGAGTTAAATTATAAAAACAAACAAACAAAAAGGCTGTTGACATACCTTTTAATTTGAACAATTTAGATATTACAAAATTTTCTTCCTACTGGCGGAAAATTACTGTATTTTGCCATGTGTAATGTGCACTTTTTTGCCCAAATTTTTGAGGGAGAAATAAGGATGTGCATTATACATGTATAGTACTAATTCCATATCTATATAGTTTTAATTCTTTTATTTACGCTTATGTGTTAAAAATGTAACTGTAGAAAGCAATAACGATATTTGTATGCAAAATAATATATTGGATTATGATAATCGGTTTTATTTCTAAATATAAATAAATAAAAATTGAATTAAATAATTAAAATGAAAGACTTTTTTCCTGAAGTTTGGGCCAAAAACGTGGGCGTGCATTATACATAGCAAAATACAGTAAACTAACAATTCTAAGTTAATGACTTGCGAGTAAATAGTTCCTTACAAAATGAATTGGATTTATCAAGACTTGTGTTCAAGTGAATTTCTCCCATCCCTTTAAATCAAATAAAGACATGACTTTAGAGGCTTCAAAAAGTATGACTTTCCCCCGATACTTGCACATTAAGCAGATAACTCTTCATCTCCCCAGCACTTGCTAGATGGATGGCAGAGCAGCACCCATCCTTGGTAGAGTTTTCACAGGTGATGCCAGGAAAGTAAGAGAAATGTAGTAAATTCTTCCTAAAGCCTACTGTTTTCAATATAAAGATTTGTTTTATTCTTAAATTATTTCCTTCCTTCTATTTTAGCATCAAGATAGTTCTTTCCATTAGGAAACTGTGGTGGTGGCTGTTAGATTTTTTTTTAAAACATCATTCCTTGGAAAACCCCTCCAAATCTTTTTATTTTGGTAGTTTCTTGGCCCAGGTGATCTATGTGGAGAACCATTTGTCTACAGTGTCCTCCAAACCATGGAATTTACGGTCGATCATGTAGTTACCACTAGTTCTCATCTAGTTATCACAGTGGTGACCGGCCTCAGGGGCAACAAACAATCTACAGAACATTTAAGGCTAATTTTAATCAATACTCAAGGGAGGGAGGGATGAAGATGGTTGCCCTAGAACTTTTTCCTCTAGCCGCAGGCCCCTTGCTGTATACCCTATCCACCCCTGACCCACAAAGCCACCTCTGACAGTGTGGGGGGGTCTGTAACAATCCATCACTACTCTGGGAGCCCCAAATCAAGGGATTCTGAGACATCAGCCTTACGGTGTCAAAGGCTCTAGAGAGTGAGTCACAGTATTTTGTCAGCTGAAATTCCACTGAAGTAAATGCCCAAGACTGCTTCTGGCTGTGGCAGCATCTCACCGATCCAGGGGACTCTAAAATCCACCCACTCAGGAAAGCGGGGCTATGTCGTTGCTTTAGAAAACCAAAGCCCAGGAGGGTCCCTTGCCCCTCCGGATGTCCAAACTGAGAACAAAAGCAAGAGAATCAGCTAGGAGAGGTCACGACAGGCCATCAACTATTTAAAAGATTTTTCAGCTAAGAATACATTAATATTTTACAGTAATATTAAAAATTCCTATTTTTCCAAGGGAGTCTACACTTATCTTTAACTCAACTGCATGCTACCTAAGTTTTTCTTTATTTAGGGTTTCCCCAAAATAAGTTCTAAAAACAACCCCACTTCAGTCTAGAAAAACCATAAACAATAAATTTTTAATACCTTTATTTACTTCATTTCTAATAAAGCTAATCAGTAACAGATAATATATTTGTTGTAAAGAGTTAACTTCCTAGATTAAATATGCACTAAACATATAAATGTGACAATATTTTGAGATTATATGACACTAAAAAAGGTAACATTTATCGGGCCAGCCACTGGGGCACTGGGCACATTACTTAAATTATCTCAGTTAATCCTTACAACAAGCCTATAAAGTAGGTACTATTCTTATTCCCACTTTATAGATGAGGTTATAAATGAGGAACCTCATTACTGTAATTTAATCTTCACTAACCCAAAATTTGAGTTCAATGCTTACTCTGGATATAAATAGGTTGAATAATCAAATTAGAAATTAAACAGAATTGTAGAAGGCATATTTAACCTACTACAAAGTCCTAGGTTTTAAGACATATTGAAAAGCAGGTGCTAATTGCAAGCATTCCAGCAGAAACTGGGAAGATTCCATCTGAAACTACACTGTGTTAAAAGACTTTAAAATACTGACTTGTACTACCCACAACAATTAGTCAAAATTAGTAAGATTTCTATAAACGATAAAGTATGGTGGATATCAGCCATACTCCCAGAATCCATTTTCTTCCGTGAACAATGCCCAGAGATCTGCTTACTTCGGGGGGGCCCCCCACCCCCAGTCCTGGTGCTTTGGAGAAGGCTGACGCTTTCCTCAGTAGCAGGGTAGGCCAATCAGAAGGGGAAAAAAAGTCTCCCATCCCCACCAATCAAAAGAGGGCATTCGCATGGCCATTGGGACCGGCTAAGTAATAGGCACATGATTCAACTCAGACCAGTGAAATGCCAGGGTTGGTTTGCTGAGGAGGGACTTCTGGAAAGGAAGACTTTTTAAAGTTATTAAGAGTAATTATTAGAAGGAATGTTTCTTTACTTCTGACCACAGGGATGTGTATCAATGAGTCTAAGACCCTTCTCAGCCGTTCTACCTCCAGGAGAGAAGCCAGCCTGAGGATGAACTGGCTCCACGAAACAGTAAGCAGAGATGTGGAAACAAACCCGGTGGCCCCTGAGCCGCCGTTTCACACCCACACTGCAGTCCATCCCACGAGACAATTAATGAGTCCCCTGTGCTGTGGAAGCCCCTCTGAGTTTGGTTTTCTGCTATTTACAACCCCAAAGAATCCAAACTGATAAATGAAAAAAAAACCACTGATGCACAGCTTTTTCCTAGTACTTGTTCAGGTTTTGCTTTACACTGTTTCTTAACTGCTTTAAATGTTCTCAAGAAAACGTACTGGGCTTTCAAGAAACACTTTCAGGAACTACAGAATGACCTTGTGCAAGTCACTTGACTTCCCTGGTTTTTTCAACTACAAAAAGATCTAAGTTTGATTAGAGGATTTCTGTTGTTCCTTCTAGCCCTCACAGCCAAGGGTTTTGGTTTTGAAGTAGAAACATCCTTTATAATATAATCTAAGCAATCAGCTTCTCTTGCTGGGTTAGATATTTTCCATCTGCACCGCCCTATCAGTCCCTCCACCCTTCTCCACTCAGCTCTGGGACCCCAGAGGTTCTGACCTCTACGGACAGCATCAACATGGCTCCCTGCATTCTGGCTTCTGGCTGAGTATGCCTAGTGGGAGGCACCATCAGGAGACAGAAGAACCAAGGGGAGTTCAATGAGGGTATTTATTCTCTTGGCTCTTTCCCAACCACGCTGGTGTAGGATGACTGCATCCCTCCTCCAGAAATAGCCTTCCTATGCGGCTTCTCTTTCCAGTTCCAATAACCAATCCTGCCCTCTTCCTTTCAGGCCTAGGCATGGGAACAGCTCCCTGACGTCGCTAGGCCTGACATGCTTCAATATCCCATGCTGGTTTCCCTTACCCTGCCTACAGTGCTATAAACAGTCCCATCGGTGGGGTCTCTTGCAGTGGTCCACTTGAGTGAATCATCTGTTTCTTACTGGAACCCCAAGACACAATGACTTAAAAGTCAAATCAAAATCAGCCACAACAAAAAAGAAACAGGAACAATCCACTCTGAGTTTCACATAAGAGAGAAGAAAAGTTTGGCACTTACTGAGAAAAAAAAAAAAACCCACACACCAAGAGAATCGAATTAGACACCACTACCCTCCTACCCTACTGGCACTGAGAATGTGTGGAAAACAGCCATCTCTTGCTGGACCAGGGTTTTAGCCTCAAAAAAAAAAAAAAAAAAAAAGTCTGTTTATATATCCACGTACTGACCCTTCAGACAGCTTCTGTGTGGAAACTGACAGAGGATTCACAGCTAGGTGTCCATTTTCTAGATGGACAAACTGAGCCTGGAAGAGAACGCAGGGCCAGAGCTGATAAAAACACTAGAAATGCCCAGGGCCAGCTCAAAGGTTCGTTGTTCCAGGAACCCGCCTCCGACAGGCTCTGTGGATTTTCTCAGCACGGCCTTCTATACTACCATTCTCCAGAGATGTCTAATTCCCTCTTAACACTTCTAGAGTTACCACTGAGGAACATCCTTAGATCCTTTCCTATTCACAATAACTCTGCAAAGTCATGGGAGACAAGACAGGATGCCCTGGGCGCCATTCCAAGTGCTGCTAAATTCCAATATGTGACTCCCTAATCACTGATCATTTCCTGGGCCAAGTTTTCCAGACAACTTTGGTTTCCAGAAATCTGTGGTTGTCCAGGTCCAGAGCAGCCCTCCCCTCCTTCTTAGAGCATTTTTCACATCACAGGGGTCAAAGAAATGATCTATGACCCCTTCACAAACCATTCAGCCACCAAGAATTTCAAAGAAGCTACCTGTTTCAGGATTAAGAGTCTTAATCTTTCAGGGTTGTCCTGCTTCCGTGTCTTCCTCCTTCAGCATCCTCTGGAGCCAGGGCCTGTAGGAGTGACCCAAACAGCACACTCAGGTTACATGGCTTCAACATGGGAACAAGTCATATCAATCAGGAAGAGATCGAAGCAGCCAAGGAGGGGGCCCTGAAAACCCCAAGCTGACGCACCTGCCTAGGAGGAGAACCCTGCAGAGGCTGCTGAGGCCAGTCCCTGGGGGAGGAGAGGATTTAGGAGACCAAGATTCACAGCTCCATTCTCATAGTTACACATGCCCCAACCCCGAGTCATTGTTTCTCCCCTTTCCCTCACACCCTACGTCCAAGCCATCAGCATAGGATGTCACCTTTATCTTCAAGACAGATCCAGACCCTCACCACATCTCACCACCTCCACAGCTACCATTTTGGTCCAAGCCAGCCACTTCTCTCACTTGGTTACTGCAGTAACTTCCTAACAGTTTCCCTACATCCACCCTCGCCTTTCTGCAATACATATATGATATGGGTTGAATTGTGCTTCCCCCAAATTCCTATGTAGAAGTCCTATCCCCTAGTATCTCAGAGTATGACCGTATTTGAAAATAGGGTCATTGAGGATTTAATTAGCTATTAAGATGAGGTCATACTGGAACGGGGTGGGTGTCTACTCCATTATGACTGGCGTTCTTATAAAAAGGGGAAATCTGGCCATAGACACCCACACAGGGAGAGCATCACGAGATTAGCATTATGCTTCCAGAAGCCAACAAGCTACCAGAAGCTAGGAGAGTGGCCTGGACCAGATCCTTCAGAGGGAGCGTGGCCCTGCCGACTCTTGATCTCAGGCTGCTCACCCCCAGAACTGTAAGACAGTAAGCGCCTGTTGTTTAAACTGTTCAGTTTGCGGTAGTCTGTTATTGCAGTCCTAGCAAACAATTACACCACGCTCCCCCACAGCAGCCTAAATGATCACTTAAAAATCACTCTTCTACTCAAAATATTCCTATAGTATCTCATCTCTCTCAAAGTAAAAGACAAAGTCCTTAAAATGACATGCAGTGCCCGCATGTCCTGGACCAACCTCTTCCCTAACCTCTTCTCCTACTCCACTCTTCCTCAACCCCTCTAGCCGCATGGCTTCCTCAAACATCCCAACCAGGCTCCTGCCTCAGGGCCTTTGTACTTGCTTTTCCCACTGCCTAGAATATTCTTCCACTAACTATCTTTTCCTTCCTTCAGGTTTCTGCTCGAATGTCACTTTCTTAGTGAGGCTCTGTTAAATTTTTCTTTGTAGCTTTATCACTACCTGACATTTGTATGTATTTTCATCCCTCTTCTCTCATACTAGACGACAAACTCCCTGAGAGTCAGGATATCGTCTTGTGGTATGCCCCAGAGCCCAGCACATAGTAGTTGCTCAGTAAATAGTTGTTGAAAGATTTATTTGTGGAATGAAAGATACAAGAGGAAAGAGGAAGCTGTCCACAGTGTCAAAAGTAGCAAAGAGTCCAAAAAGATAAGGACTGAAGTGTCCGTTGGCTGTGGTCACGTGAAAGCCACAGGTGACCTAAGAGAGGACAGTTCCTGTGGAAGGCGGGAGCCCTCTGCAGCAAATCCACCGGACCCCTCTACTGTGTCGGCAACCCTCCCACAGGCAGACCAGCCGGAGACGGCTGTGTCAGCCAAGGAGCAAAACCTGAGGGGTTATCTTTCCATAGTTTCTGTCCGTGAGAAGAGAGGAAAAGAGCGAAAGCAAAATCGAGGGGGGCTGAAAGTCTGAGAAAAAAATTGATTGCTGAATAACTGAAGGGGCTGAGGTGCCAAGAGCCACAGGATACAGAGCGATCCATGTACTGGGAGAAGGTTCTCCGGCTAGTGGGAGGGAACATGTCCTTCTCTGAGTGGAAGGAAGGCAGGTTGGATGAGCCCAGATGCCAATAACCATCCGGGAGGGGGGGCCATAAGCTGAGTGGGCTCACTGCGGTGGGAGAAGCGTGCAAGTGCAGGGTGGGCCCTGAAAATGAGTGTCTCCTTCCATTTTGTGCCCTGGGTGCCTCACTCACCTCACCCAGTGCCGACCCCGACCCCTGACTGGAGAGAGGGCTGGCTGCTGGCCAGCACCACTGAGGGCCCAGCTGAAATGAGAGGCCACAGTTTCCTAGAGGCAGAATCCCCAGATTGTAGGGTTTCTGGGACAGGTCCTCAGCAGCCTGGATTTAGGAGGAGAGACTTCCCAAGACTCTGAATTCAGGGACCCTAAATAGCTCCATCTATTTCTGTCAAGCTTGCATCATTGTCCCAAGCTCCCACATCCAACCTTTTGAGGTGCCTTAGAGTCCTCCCTCTCCACTCCTCCAATCCCGCCTGGCCAATCACGAACTGTGCCTCCAACACTATGAGAGAAATCCTATTTGATTGAGTACCTACTATGTGCAAGATGTGATGCAAATTAAAATCTTCACACAACAGTTCTGTGAAGTGTTTTTAGCTTCTGTTTACAGATGATGAAACCGGGATTCAAGAGATTAAGTAACCTGCTCAAGGTCATATGGGTAGCAGAGCTAGGATCTGAAAATTTCCATCTCTCTATCTTCTTTTCTATATTCCTTTCACCACCTGAGTCCAAGCCCTCAATGTTTCATTCCTAAAATTCAACATGATAAATGTCCTCTAACCCACCTCCCAGCACCCCCATTCGCAGTGCACATATCCAGGTGAACCTTCTGCCAGCGCTGTTTACCCATCCCCGTCCTATTTGACTGGCTTTGGTGGCTCTCCAATACAGGACAACTTCAAACTCTGTAGCCATCCCTTGGGGTCCTTCATAAAATGAGGTACATTCCCTTCTTCAACCTGTTTCCCACAAGCACCCTCTGCTCCACCCCATCCAGGATGCTCCTCCTCTTTGCATCACCGCCCCCCGCCCATGGGGCACATTCCTCCCCTGCGGGTCCAGCCCTCTGACTGCCCCGCTCTCCTACAGTCCACTGAACAGCAACATCACGCTTGCTAAGCTCTTCCTGCTCTTCTGTGCTCACTGCATTTCGTTTCTCTCGCCAAGTGTCACATACACCCATGTAGACCACAAACCCCCTGAAGGTAATTAACATCTGTGTTGAAAACACTTGGAATTGCCCATTGCTCTACCTGGGTAAATGTCACTTGATCGACAGAGCAATTCTGATGAAGTTCAGATGATATACTTTCAGAAGTTTTTCAGAAAATGTAAGACCTGGGATAAGCAAGGGAAAGGATGCACACACAGGCTTCTTGAAGTTTTTGGGAGCATGCCTACTCTTCCTCTGCAGGGGTACCCAGAGTATGGCATCCTATAAAGATCTCCTAATAAGGAGGAGGGTGGCTGGATTCAGCTCTCTCCTCTTCCTGCCCCTACACACTTCAGGTCTTGGGTCTTCTTCCTTCGCTACCCCTTCACACACTTTCATAGACACAGTCAGAGATCCTCACTTCTTCCTTCTTTAAGGAAAGAGCATGAAATGTCAGAAATCCAGCTGAGGGGGGCTCATGGTGACCAGCAGAATGGTTGGTGCTGAGAGCCCTACAGTAGGAAAAGGATATGCTATTTCCAGGGAATTGGGGGTTGGCCTTAACACACTTTGATCGACAGCACAGGCCACAGAACAATTCTGTGATTGCCGGGGCCCCAGAGGGAGGGTGGTTGGGAAAAATTAAAGTCAGCAAAGCCCTAAAGGGCCATCAGATTACACCTCACACAGACAGAATGGGCAAAACCTGAACAGTTAGAGTCTGAAAGTCAAGGTGATGTTGTCTGGCAAGATACCCAAACAGTGGAACCAAAGGCACAGTATGGGCTTCATGACATGATGGAAATAACCAGAGCTCTGGAGTCAGGCCTGGGATCAAAGCCTGCCCTTGTCACCCAGGGGCTGTCCAACCTTGGGCTGGTCACTTGATTTCTCTGAGTCTGGTTCTGCACATGCTAATGTGAAGCCTAAATAAAATAAAAAATACATAAAAACATCTAGCACAGTGCCTGGCATTGCATAATGGGCCCAGTAAGCGTTGATTCCCTCTCTCCTTCCAGCTCTCAGATCTCAAAGCTCACAACCCTCACTAACAGGAACAAGTACAGAAGCTACAGAGCATTTCCCAGACAGGAGGTCTGCCAAGGATAGCAAAAGCCAACAAAAGGTAGGGAAAACAAACAGGCCACTCCGTGGCCACTGAGAGAGAAGCACTGGACTTCTGTGAACGCCTGGTTTCAGAACACACAAAGCTTCGAGCTTCAGACCAAACCCAAACAGGAAGTTTGTGACAAACTTAGCAAACATGCACTCACAACTGCAGGAGGCTGCACACCACTCAGAAAAGATAAAAACCAGCACTGGGGTGGGGTAGGTGTGGCGGGGGGGCGGCATCTGTGAGGAATGAAAGGAGCAAGCTGGGCCCAAGGGCCAAATGAATAAGAGACTCTTCCTGGGTGCCAGGGAGCTCCTTGCTCCAAAGCACTGGGCTGAATCACGTGGAGCTGCTCTGGATTTCCAAGCCAGGACCCCTCCCCTGGGCTCGCTGTACCTCACTGTATCAGGGACAGTGAGCCACTGAACAGTGATCCGGGCCTGGGGGACTTAGGTGTGTGGCATCAGTTTTTGGCTGGAAGAGCGCAGCAGAGAAAGAGGAAGTGGTGTGCTGGAGTCCCACAGAGCTCTTTGATCTCCACCTGGTTGCTTGGCCAGTGCGTGTTCACAGGCCCCCTAGCGCCCTACAATGGGGTCTTCAGGCTGCCAGGTTTTCCTCTGAAATCTTGTCTGGCACTATCATTTGCATGTGTGCTGTTCACACCGGTATGGGGCACTATAATTTCAGTCCATTTATCTGTAGGAGCAGACAAAGATGGACACGCCTAACCTCCATGATTTACGTCCCATCTCCCCCACCATCGTAAAAACTAGGTGGTTCCTTCCCCCTTGCTCACAATCCGTCAGCACCTGTGGATTGAACCTGGATACTAGGCCAGATGTTTGATGGCTGTGCACCAGAATATAACTGATAAATGAATAAACATCAACACCATTTCTACTCTC